CTCCTTTTCCACCATAACACATACCACTTTATTATATTTATTTGTTCATATGATACATTTTAATTCTCCATGCATTTCCCTCCCCCGTGTCTTGGCACAGGGCCGACACTGAGTTTATGTTGGAACGAAGGAGTGAATACAATTTGATGCATCTAGTCTTCTAAATGAGATATGGGGATATATTTTAAGTTTGTACACATTTGTTTGAAATGGAAAGACATTTCTTTTTCATACACTAAATATTCACATTACAATTCAAAGTTTATTTTTTCCTCTTGAGACTCTCACTGAATTAATGTGTCTCTGCCTAGACAATAGAGATTATTTTTGGTGGGTGTAAAGTGGTCTGGCTCAGACATCAGGATGGGAAATCAGTAGAGCGCCAGATTACATAGAATTTGATCACACCAGTACACTCAGGGGGATGTTACTGTTACAGCTTACCTAGCTTTTTCCCTAACCACTTTGCCTCTCTAATATAGTGAACTACTGAAGCAGTTCTAAAAGGAGAAACCCTGCAGTCTGTCAAAAGCTGAAACTCCAAACTGTTCTCTGTGGATTTCACCCAACTTGCCACAATAGTCATTTTGATTCTGGTGCTTTAAATACTAGGTTGTGTTTGTGTCCCTAAATACTTCCTTTCTTAGCTATTCCCAATCATCAAGTCTTATTTATAAATGTCCATTACTTAATATGAAAGTTAAGAGACACTCCGTTTCATTCTTCAACTCTTTTTAGTAGACATGAAAAGTCAGAAGCGTTTAATATGCAAGCTTAAATATAGCATGCTTTTTTTGGTAAGCAATAGAATATCATCTATATGCCAAAAAGTACCATTTGCCTGTTGTTGTTGTTTTTTTTATTGCTTAAAGTAATACAAAGAGTATTACATATGTCTCCCTTTTTTTTTCTTCCCCCGCCCTTGACAATCCTCTGGCCTCCCCTACCCCCCAGTGTCTTATGTCCATTGGTTATGCTTATATGCATGCATACAAGTCCTTCGGTTGATCTCTTACCCACCCCCCTCCTGCCCTCCCACCCTCCCTGGCCTTCCTGCTGTAGTTTGACAATCTGTTCAAGGCAGCCCTGCTTCTGTATCTATTTTTGTTCATAAGTTTATAATGGTCTTTATTATCCAGAAATGAGTGAGATCATGTGATATTTTTCCTTCATTGACTGGCTTATTTCACTTAGCATAATGCTCTCCATTTCCATCCATGCCGTTGCAAATGGTAAGAGTTCCTTCTTTTTTACAGCAGCATAGTATTCCATCGTGTAGATGTACCACAGTTTTCTAATCCATTCATCTACAGATGGGCACTTAAGCTGTTTCCAGATCTTAGCTATGGTGAATTGTGCTGCTATGAACATAGGGGTGCATATATCCTTTCTGACTGGTGTTTCTGGTTTCTTGGGATATATTTCTAGAAGTGGGATCACAGGGTCAAATGGGAGTTCCATTTTTAGTTTTTTGAGGAAATTCCATACTGTCTTCCATAGTGGCTGCACCAGTCTGCATTCCCACCAGCAGTGCACAAGTGTTCCTTTTTCTCCACATCCTCTCCAGCACTTGTCATTTGTTGAATTGTTGATGATAGCCAGTCTGACAGGTGTGAGATGGTACCTCATTGTTATTTTGATTTGCATCTCTCAAATATACGATGGGAAACCATAAAAATACTAGAAGAATCCAAAGGCAACAAAATCTCAGACATATGCCGAAGCAATTTCTTCACCGATACAGGTCCTAGGGCATTGGAAACTAAAGAGAAAATAAACAAATGGGACTACATCAAAATAAAGAGTTTCTGCACAGCAAAAGAAACCATCAACAAAACAACAAGAAAGCCCACTACATGGGAGAACATATTTGCCAATGCTATCACTGATAAGGGTTTAACCTCCAACATTTATAGGGAACTCATACAACTCAACAAAAGGAAGATAAACAATCCAATCAAAAAATGAGCAAAGGACCTAAATAGACACCTTTTAAAAGAGGACATTCAGAAAGCCAAGAGACATATGAAAACATGCTCAATGCCTGTTGTTTTTTCAGTTTACGGTTCTTTCTGCGTCCTTCTGGGATTCCCCAACACCTCCCCTCCCCCCCTTTTGTTTTTTTGCTTAAGCTTGAGCTGAAAAATCTTCCCCTGAAGATGGTTGAGCTGTGTTCACATAGTACTTAATTTGATTGGATCTTTTTACTAATTTATAAAATTTCCCCTCAATTCACATTAGGAACAAAGTGCCCTTAATACTTCTATAAATACCATCATATGAACTGATTGGGATCTTCAGAGGTCAGAGAGAAACATGTATTCACTTCTAATTACTTGAATTAACGTCAATGTCAGTGCTTCAAAGAGCCTACTAATTTCAGTGCCATTTGCTTCTTTAGGGCTTAGCAGCTGCTTTGTGGAGACAAAGGTTAATGATGATTCAAATGCAATACTTTCTAGGGAAACTTACAAATCTTCATGTGTGGCTTTATGCCAGAGTCCATTCATTGTCTTCACTACCCGAGTTTAGACAGAGACCTCCAAAAGCTAGTAACCTTTGAAGTCCTAGCAAAGGTCAGAACTGTGCACCACCCAGTTAATCTAGGAACCACCCAGTTAATTTAGGTAATAATATTTGAAGCATCCCCACCTTAGTTCACTTAATTCCTTAGATACTTATGTAGATCCTTGTTGATTATTGTTAATCAGATACTCACGGAAATCTATTGATGAGCTAATCAGATACTTTGTCAGATTCCTGGAAATTGTCTGCTGATCTGTGTGTCATTGAAACCTCCTTACCCTAAGGGGTACTCCAGATCAATAAAAGATTCGAGTAGCCTGAGCATGGGTGGAAGCCCTTCAGGACTTGCCCGCCTGGTCCCCCAATATTGCAAAATTATCTCGTGTCATTTCGCTCTCATTTGTTGTGTGGCTCCTCTTTCAGATACCGAACCCTACTCCACGCAGAACGTGGAGGGAGTGTTACTCGACAGCTTTACATCACATTCAGGAATAGACGCACTTCTTCTCCCTGCATGTAATATACTGGCATTTCTTTAGATGCATTTAAAATTACATCTGACTTTCAACAGTTTAACTTCAGGGTGGACTTGGTTGTGTTCATTTTACTTGGTGTTCATTTAGCACTCTGTACCTGGAAATTTCTTTCATCAAATTTGGGGAAATTTTTTTTCTTCAGTTTTTTCTTGCCCCATTCCCTTTCTTTTCTCCATCTGGTATTCTACTGATAATGTATGTTGGGTTGTTAGGTATCATGTACTAGGCTCTGAGGCTCTGTTAATCTTTTAAGACATTTTTCTGTGTTGTTCACTTTGGATAATTTCTATTGTTCTACTTCAAGTTCACTTGTATCCCTTCTGTAATTTGGCTGTTAAATCCATCCAGTGAAATTTTTTATTTCTGAAATTTTAATTTTCAGTTCTAGAACTTCTATATTTTTCCTTTTCCTCTGCTGAGTTCTTCTATTTGTCTCCTGAGGTTTTCATTCAATGAAAACACATTTTATTTTAGTTCATTTAGGATAGTTCTAATAGTTAATTTCAAATCTTTACCTGTCATTTTCAACATCTGATTCAGCTCAGGGTGGGACTCTAGAAAATGCGGTCCATTTTCTTTATTTTCATATGTCAGTAGTTTTGAATCATATCTTGGACTTTATCAATGATAAATTGTGGAGGTTTTGGATTCTATTGTTTTTCTATGATAAATGTTATTTCCTATGTGTTGGTAGGTAACTTTCTTGGCTAGATTCGAACTGCAAACTCTATTTCTTGGGAGACAGCTCTGGTGGCAGTTCAGATCATCTGTTTTTAACTGAACTACTGTGATTCTGTTTCGAGTGGTTCAGGATCTGTCAGAAAACTGAGCAGGAAGAGTTTGGGGATACCCTCTCTGGCTTCTTCTAGGATTTCGTTATTTCTTAGGCATTCAAATCTCCTGCCTTCATTTGCCTGGCTCCCCAGATAAGAAAACTGGAGAGGTTTTCCACGTGAACCCTGGGCTGAGCCTGCCTCCTGGACTGCACTCAGCTTTAACCTAAATGCCAAGGAAAAGGGAACTTTATTATGTAGCTCCTCACCAGCCCACCTCCAAGCAAGTTGCCCTTCCGAACAAAGTCAGCCCGTTTCTGTTTGCATTCCAGTATATTCAGTTGTATGATGTCCAAGTTTTACAGATGTTTTCTACTGGGGGATAGTCCAGTAGGATCTTGGTCATATTTGGACTCAGAAGTTCTATCGCTGCCTGGGACTTTCAATCTTGGGAGAGTCCTTTCTTGCCTAGGTCAGTGCAATATCTTCCTAACCATTTCCTGAGTCTACCCTTGCCCCCAAAGGTCTATTCTCAACACATCAGCCAGAGGGATACCATGAACCGTTAAGAGCAACTTCCAGTGTCTCCCCATTTCCCGCAGAGTAAACCCATGAATGCTTTCAATGCCCCACCCTGCCTGTCTGAAACTCCTCATCCTTGGCTTCCCGGTCACGTGTCTGTGCTGGTTTGCATCCGACTTTCCTGACTGATCACTCATTCCACAAACCCTGTTTACCCTTGCTCCTCTGATCCCAAAGTCGAGTCCACCCTCAAAATACGGTCCTTGGTACTCTGGTTTTTCTTCTTTCCACTTTCGTCTCTAGAGATTTCACCCACTTCCACACTTTAAGCTAACACGACGCTGAACGAGGCTTTCCCTGTTGCCAGGAGCTGGAGACCTGGACCCCATGCCGAAGGCAAGGAGGCCTTCTCTGTGCTCCCTACTTTCTCAACAGAGCTGCAAACAGCACTGACGCAAGGCAACTTCTTCACCCTGGTGTCTGCCCAGATGCGAATAAACGCAGAGCAGAACTAGAGAGCCTCCGCGCAGGTCCAGCTCCCTTCGTGAGAAGGCGGGGCTGATCTAACTTTGCTCCTAGTGTGGAGCCCTCCCGCGGGGAGGCGGCGGGCGGCGGGGAGGCGGAACCCTCGTGCGCGCGTCCCTGCTTCCGGCCGGGCGCGGGCGCGGCGCACAGCTTGCGCGCACCACTGCCCGGCATGGAAGAGCGCGGCGACTCCGAGCCCTCCCCGGGCTGCAGCGGCCAGGCCCCGGCCGGCGCTCGCGGCGAAGGCGGTGGCGACGGTGGCGGTGGCGGCGCCCATCCATGGGCTCCGGAGGACGCCTGGATGGGCACCCACCCAAAGGTCAGGAGGCGCGAAAGGAGCGGGGCGCCGGTCCAGGCCCCCAGCCCAGGCGGAACCCCCAGGCCGCGCTCCCCTCCGAACCCTCCGCCCCTGCCGGGCCGGATCGCTGAGTCCACGCACGACCCTCCGGGAAGGGGACCCGTGTGCACACGGCCAACCGCAGCAGTTTTGTTTTCGTTTGTTTCAATGAGTTGAACTCTGAACTCTTGCCCTGACACTAACCCCCACCCCTACCCCCCTTCGCCGTTCTAAGCCCGAGGTGTAGACAAACCCGGCCCCTCCCACGCCGGACGCCAACACTCGCGGCGCCACTGGAGAGGGTCTCACTTAACCTCACACGAGCCACGCGGGCGGCGGGTAAGACCCGGGAGCCGGTCATGGCAAAGGTGTAGGCACCAAGTCTATTTTGCCGCAGCGCACATTCCTAAATGTCTCGAGTTTCTTGGAAAGTTGAATAGGTTCTTCCTTAAAGCGTAACTGCTCACTTCGTGGTTGTATTTCTCAGTATAGCGGTAAGGAGGAGAAAGGTAATTCCTTGCTTGCTTCTGCTTGGCAAATTGCTGCCTTGTGCCAGTCATGTCCCAAGCAGTGAGTAAACGGGGAATGGAGTTGGGGGGGTGGGGGGAGGGGGTGGGGTGGGGGGAGGGCGGTAGGCATCTCAGGGACTGGTCTAGTCACTGGTAGAATTGCAGTCTTCTGCTGAGTTGTAATCTCTCTATATCAGTGGTTCTCAACCTTCCTAATGCCGGGACCCTTTAATACAGTTCCTCATGTTGTGGTGACCCCCAACCATAAAATTATTTTCGTTGCTACTTCATAACTGTAATGTTGCTGCTGTTATGAATTGTCATGTAAATATCTGATATGCAGGATGTATTTTCATTGTTACAAATTGAACATCATTAAAGCATAGTGATTCATCACAAAAACAATATGTAATTATATATGTTTTCCAATGGTCTTAGGCAACCCCTGTGAAAGGGTCATTCGACCCCCAAAGGGGTCGCGACCCCCGGGTTGAGAACCGCTGCTCTATATAAAAGCCTAAGATGCAAAGTGTCCCCTCTGGAGTTCGTCAGATGGCGAGTTCAATTACTTGCTATGACGTGCGCTGACCACCAGGGGGCGACGTGTAAGGAAGGAAGGCCCCAGCCGGCAGCCCCTAGGGACCCTATATCCGTGCACGAATTTCGTGCCCTGGGCCCCTAGTATTTCATAAGTAACCATCTAAAAACAGTCAAGAGCCTGGCCCCTGTGGCTCAGTGGTTGAGTGTTGACCTATGAACCAGGAGGACATGGTTCCATTCCCAGTCAAGGCACATGCCTGGGTTTGGGGCTCGATCCCCAGTGTGGGCCTTGCAAGAGGCAGCCCATCAATGATTCTCTGATCATTGATGTTTCTCTCTCTCCCTCTCCCTTCCTTTCTGAAATCAATAAAAAAATATATTTTTAAAACATTAAAATAAAAACAGCCAAGAAAAGAAAATTTTTGAAGATAAAAGTCTGAAGCGTTAACCTCTTCTCATTTTATCTTGCTTAGTTTTATCCTGCTGCTCTGTCCCCTTATTCCCCTTCAAGATGAGAAAAAGAAGCACTAACATGGAGATGTTATTCAGTGCCATAAAAGGAAACACCGTGACAGGGAGAGGCAGCACAGTGGTTAGGAGCATGAACTCAAAGACACATCGCCTGAGTTTGAATCCTGGTTCTGTCATCAGCTTTGTGATTTGGGGCAAATTGTTTAATCTCATGGCACTTAGGTTTTCTCATCTGTAAAATGGGGGTAATAAGGGTACTTATAGGATTAAATCAGTTACTATTTGGAAAGTACTTGACATGGAGTAAGCAAGCACTATGTGAGAATTTAAGAAGTGAAGCGCCGGTAACAAGTTTTAAAAACCTCCTCTAGTTTGGTGGTGCTACTCAGTTTTTATACTTGCAGATTTTTTTCTCTTTGAAGTTAATGGCTGTATAGGCCCTAGCCTTCACCATCAAATCTTCCCTTTCGATTTTTCCTCTTAAGGGTCTAATTGATTTTTTTTTTTAAAGAAAGAAAAGATATTGGGTGTTTGATTTTTCTCCTTCTGCCTTTTTATTATTCAATTTTAAAATTACTTGGGTCCATCTAGTAACATGGTATCAGATTTCTTGTCCTCAAACACTACATTCATCATACCCTCATGCTTAGAAGTCTTCAGTGTTTCTTTATGGGTAAAATTCAAACTTTTAGCTTGGCCGTGCAGTCCTTGCAACCTGGTCCCCAATTGCTTTTTCAGTGCTATGTTCAAGCACGTTTAAGGTTTGAGGAGGAGAACTAGTAACACCCCTGTTCTCCTGTACCTGTACACCTACGATGAGGCCAAAGGGAGAAGGTGATATCAGATATGCACCCGTGCAGGTCTGCTAATCCCTCACTTTTGCATTAGTCTTGCTTCCCCACCTAGTCACTGACGTAACTGGACTACCTCAGGCTTCCCCTGCAGGAGTAGACCCCTGAAGAATGTTCCCACAGTGCTGACCAGTAAGTCTGAAAGCAGCAGCAGCTTGCTTGGTCCTTTCTTTAAAATCTAGCATTTTAAATAACTCGCTGCTCTTGAGTGAGAAGGAGAGAGAGGCCAGGAGTGGTATTCTACTAGACTTCTTCCACGTGCACATAAGAGACCAGGAGAATAGAGGCCCCCGCTACATGCCCCAACACAACTCTTATTGAAAAATGTCTGCTCCTGGCAGATAGGTTTCTTTGTAGGCCCTTGAATATGTGTGGCTCATTCCCAGCTCTGTGTGATTAGTTAGACTGTTGCGCTGCCTTCTCAGTTTGGTCAAATCATGCATGTCCTTCAGGGCCCAACTTGTATCTCCCCTCTATCATAAAACACTCACCAACCAATTCACCGGAGGGTAGCTCCTCTGACCGGTGGTGTCACGGTTCTTTAATTCCACTCACTTGGTTTTTAACCACTTTCTGTCATGTGTTGTTATTTCCCTAACAGTTGCACTGTGCTTACCCTAATAATTGCAGGTTTTTTAGAGGCAGGATCAGGTCTTACATTGCCTTATAACTCCCACTATACCTAGAATTGAGTTTGATGCTTTCTACATATTTAATAAATAGTTGTTGCTGTTTGTGAAATAAAATATTAAGAGATTCTTCCTTCTCTGTTTAACAATTACATTTTGATTTTCAGTATTTAGAAATGATGGAATTAGATATAGGAGATGCTACTCAAGTTTATATAGCATTCTTGGTTTACCTGGACCTCATGGAGAGTAAGTTTTTGTTTATATTGCTTTATTATTGGGGCCATGGTGGAGGGTTGGGGAGTTGGGTTTGGATATAAAATTACTGACATTATAATAAGCCATTGTTTATGTATTTGCTGTTCTCCATCCATTTTATAATTTCTTCATTTATAGTGGGAATTGCTGGGTAAAAACATAAGTAAAAGAGAAGATAAATAAAAATGTAAAGAGAAGATAGCGTTATAACTGATATTTGCTCAGCTGAATATTAAGTAGAAGTTTAGAATTTTTATCTTTGGTTTTTGATAAACATTATCCATTTAATGATGCTCTTTCAGGTAAAAGTTGGCATGAGGTAAACTGTGTGGGATTGCCGGACCTCCAGCTCATCTGCCTGGTTGGTACTGAGATAGAAGGAGAAGGGCTACAGACTGTGGTGCCTACATCCATCAATGCTTCCCTCAGCCATAACAGGTGGGCAGGTGATTTTGCTCTTTGTTTAAGAGGTTAGTTCATCACATCGTACACTTTTTTTTAAAATATATTTTATTGATTTTTTACAGCGAGGAAGGGAGAGGGATAGAGAGTTAGAAACATCGATCAGCTGCCTCCTGCACAACCCCCACTGGGGATATGCCCGCAACTAAGGTGCATGCCCTTGACTGGAATCGAACCCAGGACCCTTCGGTCCGCAGGCCGACGCTCTATCCACTGAACCAAACTGGTCAGAGCACATTGTACACTTTAAACTTACACATTGTTGTATGTCAGTTTCATCTCAGTTTAATAAAGCATGGTGGAATGTGAGTGGATGACGATGATATGTAACAGGGAATATTAAATTATATTAAAAATAACATGCCAACTTTGATACTTCATTGTTATACACTGCACAACTAGTCTGAGCACACTAGTTGTAAATTGCTATCCTAGACTATCCTGCTTAGCTGTCTGAGTATAGTGGGAATTTTTAATGTTCTTTATTCCTCAAAAACTTTAAATACCATTTTTATGACTAGGGAATCTGGGTGATATACAAAGCCTGAGAGCCAGAGGAGTTGGCATTTTGCTGGAGGTGTAATCCATGTTATTTACAGAGGGCATATAGCATATAAGGCATAAAAGCTGTCCCCTTTATTAAAGTCTCAACTTTGTAAAGCTGGACTAAACTCTATCATTTACATAGTTAACTACAACTTAGTCATAAAATAGTTCCCCAGTCATCACAGTACATAATCTCACTGCATCCTTTAAAACCACTTCAGTAGCTATTTTGACTATTGAGAGACAGAATAACATATATATATTTGCATTGGCTTATTATTTCCATTATTTATTTTATGGTGTATGTGTATTTGCCAACTCCTTAAAAGGTAGCAATTCTAGGTAACATTTGATGTCATATCTGTCTAAATTTCTAAGCTCTCCTACACAGTTTTTGTAACCATTTCCGACTTAGTTTTCCAACCTTTGGACCTAGTGATCTTATTTACATAGTTTTGTTAAGAGTGCAGACAGATTCCATTACAGAGAGAATCTGCAGTACAGTGGCAGTGAGTGAATGCACTCTGAGCAGAAGTGGTTTGTGACTGGTATTTTCTTATACATGATATATGTTCATAGTTAAAACACGTTGGCATATTTTCAAAGTTTCAGAAGGTCTTTCAAGTACTGTAAAAATTGGTGTGAAGTAAAATGAGTGGGATTACCAGATCCCCAGCTCATCTGCCTTGTCAGTACTGAGATAGGAGAAGGGTTATGAATTCTGGTACCTATACCCATCAGTGCTCCCCTTGTGAAAATATTGATTGAATACTAATTGCTGATCTCTAGGAGGAAAACAGAATTGGTAAAGTACCCATATCTGATTATCTAGTGGGAAAATTGTGCTGATGGAGTATGAGGTTGTTTTTGTTTCTCAAAGGACAGGACACATCTTTTTCTCTCATCTAAAACTACTACTTAGCCCGGCCAGTGTGGCTCAGTGGTTGAGTGTCGACCTATGAACTAGGAAGCCACAGTTCAACAGTTCCATTCCTGGTTGGGGCACATGCCTGGGTTGCAGGCTCAATTCCCAGTAGGGGGCATGCAGGAGGCAGCTAATTGATGATTCGCTCTCATTGATGTTTCTATCTTTCCTTCTCCCTTTCTCTCTAAAATCAATAAAATATATTTTTTAAAAATAAAAATACTACTGAATGCTAATGTAAAATAATTTTTAGCTTACATTTTAAAATACTATATTAGGTTATATATTTGGATTATATATGCATATGGAAAGTACTCTATAGATTGTTTGTTACTAAAGTGAATGTGAGAATCATGTAGCACTTTTGTTAAATCACTGTAGAGGTTATGAATACTCTGATTTCCCCAGACCCAGCAATGGTATAAAAATCATATTCATAATTTCATAGAGGTCAGAGAGATCTGCTAAAGATGATCTGTTTAAAGATGAGGTAATTAGAGGAATCCTAAGGAAAGCCAGGGCCTTTTTCAGTGCTGAGATAGCAAATGAAGCCACATTACTGACAGAGGGCTTGATGAGCTTCTTCTGGACCACTTTGCCACTGATATTTGTTGAAAAGTGTGTTACAACAAAGTTAGGATAATAGAATTTCAGGTTTCTGTAATAATATTAATATTGTGGATAGTTATAAATGGGAAATATCTTAAGTAACTTACACAATGACTGATATCAAATAATGAAAAAAATGTTTTGGTTTTTCACTACTTTTATCCTGATAGAATCTATATTGTCTCCCAATTTCAATGCCAATTCAGTTTCTTCGGTAAAATATGAGATGCTGAAAACTAAAACCACAGTAGCTGTATTTTAAGCTTATCTATGTTTGTACATAAGTTAATTTTTAAAAAGCCGAATGAAGCCCTAGCCAGTTTGTAACAGTGGATAGAGCATTGGCCTGAGGACTGAAGGGTCCCGGGTTTGATTCCGGTCAAGGGCACATGCCTGGGTTGCAGGCTCGATTCCTAATTGGGGTGTGCAGGAGGCAGCCAGTCAGTGATTCTCATCATTGATGTTTGTCTCTCTCTCCCTCTCCCTCTCTGAAATCAATAAAAATTAAAAAAAAGCCAAGTGAAGTGTTTTGTAAATTACAAAATCCAGAGACAGTTAATATATTGTTTTTGAAATGATCTGTAAATCAATCTCTCTCTCTCTCTCTCTCTCTCTCTCTCTCTCTGCTTAGTAATATCAATGAATCATTCATCCTGTTAAAACTGACTGGATTATAAAGGGCTCTTTCACCCTAGTGCCAGCAAAGGATAATGGATAGCTTATGCAAGGGTGGAGCCTCTCCAGTGACCACTTTATCCTCCAACCCCACAAATTAGTGGCATTTCTCTTGATTTGTGGTGATAAATGGGTACCCTCAGCCATTTTATCTGAGAGAAAACTTTCCCAAATGTACTGTTTCTTAGCATCTTCCTATTTGAATATTAGTCTAGAAATTTAGAAAAAGGCTCCAATATGCCATATACCAAATTGGTCATCTGCTAATTCAGCAGCTATTAGGCTAAGAGTCTAGGAACTTTTGTCATTTGGTTTGGTAAGGACTCTTGGCCATAGTAATGCCACTACGTGGCCCTCCTTTATAACACTTACCACATTTATTGCTCCTTGATATAGATTTGGTTTTCTTTGTTTACTGTTTTCCTTTCCCTTTTAGAAAATAACCTCCACGAAAGCAGGAATTTTGTTCTGCTCATTGCTTTTTCCTCGGTGCATAGCCTAGTATCTGGTACTTGGTATTAAATCAATGTTTGTTGAATGACTGAATGAGCTCCCTTAGACTACTAAGTTCCTGCAGTGGAGATTTGCTAAATAAAATCTTAAAGAACATAGAATATGCTTAAGTAACCTTCCAAGAGTTTCTAAAAATTAGAATGTCTGAAAAATCCATTTGCTTTCAGATTTGGCACCACTTTCCACACTTTATACTGTAACTATAATACGCATCTCAGGATAGAAAACAATCACAATGCCTCCTAACCTTTTAGTGAAACTCTTTTTCATCGTGTCCACCCCCCTACCTTTAATCCCTTCTTTTTCCTTAGTGTCCTGGGAAAAGGACTTATTAATGGTGGAGTGAAGGGTTACTAGAACTGAGTTCCTTCTTTAGAACATTTAAAAAAATTTAACTGACATATAGCATATTAGTTGCTGGTGTAAAATAGTAAGTCATTGTTTGTATACATTGCAAAATGATCAACACAATAAGCCTAGTTAACATCATCACCTTACATAATTACAAAAAAAAGGGTTTTTTGTGATAAGAACTTTTAATACTCACTTAGCAACTTTCAATTATGTAATATAGTATTAACTATATTTAGAACTTTTTAAAAGATGTTCTTAATTATGAGATTTAATCCTGAAATGCTAATATATATATATATATATATATACACACACACACACATACACACACATACATACACACAGTATATGTGTGTGTGTGTGTGTGTGTGTGTGTGTGTGTGTGTGTATAATTGTTTAAAGTATTGCATATGTCTCCTTTTTCCCCCATTGACCCCTCCCCAGCCACTCCCACCCCCCAGGACAATGCTACAATATTCTTGAAGGATACTCTGTTATTTCCATGTAATTGAAAAATATGTCCAGTCTCCAAAAGTATGTTCTTTATTACAGATTCATTTAATGGACATTACTTTATGTGAGGCCTAAAGTTTAATAGCTAGTAAAATGATTTCTGTCATTTGACTTCCCTGCGTACCTGATGTGTGTCCTCATATTACCTCTGTTGGAAATCTGTTACTGGTGAACCCCAATTCTGGCAGCTTCTTTTAATAGTCACAGCATTTTTTCTCTTACCCTCCACAAACACACACAAAAACTTGCAGTTTATATTAACAGAATGGCCCCCCACTGGGGTGGATAGTCACACAGACACTTAATTGTTCAGTAACCCTGCCACCTTGGGATTTTAGCCACCTTGCTTTTTTTACCAGGCAGTCCTTGGTATGATTCCCAAGGAGGTGGTCTCTTATTCTTGAACTTTTCTTCAGGATTGAGCCTGTGGATGAATACAGCTTCTTGGGCACTTTGGGCACTAATTTAAATTTGCATTGTATTCTAGAGTTGGATTGTGGAGTGTCGTTCTAAAATATCATAATGAGACAGATTAAGCAGTTAATGCCTTTAATTGATGAGGCTACAACATGTGCCAGTTTGGTCACATTGAAGAGGACAGAAGAAGATATCGCTTTCTGTGGGTTGAAATTAATAATTTTAACCCATGATGCATTCTGTTTCAACATTTGAAGTTAAAAGTAATAAGTAATGTTGCCTTCAACTCTCTGTCCTCTGTGTAAATCTCTGGAGCTTACTTAGTCTCTATTGGAGGATCTTACAGAAAGATGAATGCTAAGATTTCTGGAAGGCATTTACTTTAGTCTGGAGGAAGGGCAGTAGCCAAATGGTGTTGCCTGTCTGTTTGCCTCAGACTTGTTTTCACGTTAACTTTAGTACACTTTGGGATCACTCTGTTTACAGTATGCTGAGCTCCCCTCTGAACAGTTATGAGAACATCATAACTGTTATTGTTTGCAACAGTTATGAGAACATCATAACTGTTGCAAGCATCAAATTCTGTTACTGTTGTCAAACTGCAGCAGGAAGGCCGGGGAGGGTTGCGGGGCAGGAGGTAGGGGGGTAAGAGATCAACTAAAGGACTTGTATGCATGCATAGAAGCATAACCAGTGGACATAAGACATTGGGGGATAGGGGAGGCTAAGGGACTGTCTAGGGCGGGGGGATAAAATGGACACATATGTAATACCCTTTGTAATACTTTAAGCAATAAAAAAAAAAAAAATTGAAAAAAAAAAAAAAAAAAAAAAAAAAAAAAAAAAAAAATTCTGTTACTGTTGAACAACAATTATAATTATTATTGACTGTTCTATTTCTTCAGGTGGAGTTTTCCCTTGAGATATAATTAACTCAAAAATATGAAATTCTCATTATATAAGTTATGTTTTTCATATGTGGATTTCTATAAAATATGAACTATAAGCAATTTTGTTATCCAAATTATTATTTTAGATTTGTGTGGTGAAACGTCTTTACAATACTTTTTAAAGAACTGAGCTTTTAAAAAATGTGCCTAAGAGGAAACTTCATTCTATGGTTTCTAAATTATGATTTCAAACTGTAATTTCCTTCTTCCTCCTCATACAACCAAACAGGATAAACAGCTCAGAGATGGGAACTTCCACTTCATTTTTAACAGTGATTCCCCTCAGCTCTGAAGACAAACCAGGCTTTACAACTCTGAGCTAATTTTCAGATGTTAGGGTTTCCCCCCTGGGTGTTCTGAGTAAGTCAGAAAATGTTTTGCTGTTTATAATCAAAGAACTATGAAAACAAATATGAATGAGATGGAAATTTCTATTCTAAATTTCAATATATGGGCTAGAATTTCCACACAGTTTACCTTACAAAACACATACACACATATTCTGATTTAAGTATCATATCTTGAGAAACAGAAGATATGTAACAGTTTTCTTAATAGGTTTTTTCCCTTCCATCTGTGTCCCATCCTCGTCATACTCTGCCAGTTAGGGATGTTTAAAGAAACTTATTTTTAACTTGTGTGTACTGCAGTGTCTTAAGACTGTCATTTTCCATCAGTGCTAAGTGTTGAGGTTGCTAGTTAATATCTATGGTTGCTTCATCTGAGTATCTCTAAAGAAAAATTCTGATATGAAGTGGAATCTAATTGATGTTCATGTAATTTAACATAGGTAGAAATTATTTTTTAAGGAGGGTGTGGATAAAAACATTATGCACCAATTTTCAAGGTAGCAAAGCTGGTATAGGTACCATATAGTAATACTTGTACTTGCTGACTACTTGACAGTTTGCAATGCCTTTTCATGTATGCCACCTCAATAGTCCTATGTGTAGATGTACAGGTATATTGTCTTCATGTTACAGCACCATTTCTTAAAAAGCTTTGGCCTTCAAAATGAGTACAGCCCAGTGAGAAACAGGCACTGAGATGTATACATACAAAGTCGTGATTACAGTAAGGTAGGGCTACCCAGTGTGCCTCTGTAGGATAAGACATGTAACTTTGCCTTGAGGTTGGGGAAAGGTGACAGGAAAGACTCGAGAGAAGATGATGCTTTGCTTTGTTGACTCGTGGAAAGGAATTAAAATTTTGCCAGGTAGACATATTTTATTTATCTAGTGAGTTATGCTTGGTAACTGGAGTGTTACTATATTGCTGATTTACCTCTCTCAGGGCCATTTTAGAAAAGGTTTGAATATGAGGAAACAAACTTAGAAACTCATCTTCTCATCTCACTTCATGCCTTTGTAAACTTAAATGATAGGTAGCAGGTAAGCAGCCTTTTGTGACTGATGTTCTAACAAACCAGTTAGAACTGCAGCTTTTCCAGAAGTTTACTGCTATTTTAAATCACTTAAAATGTCCAGTCATTACTACAGATTTTTTAAAAAAGCATTATAATTATTATAGTAAGACTATTTCAAAGCAGAAACTTTTCTTTTAAGATTTTTTTTATAGTTTCAATAGCTAATAGGTTGGGGGAAGAGTGACCATAAGAATTTTTACTTACGGATGGGAAGTAGAAATTAAGGGGACAAATTACACTTTTACTAAATACAGTACAGTATTTAGCATGTTAATATGCTAGTAAATATTTTTCCAATCTCTGGAGACTTGGTTAGCTTAGTGAAAAAGCAACTGATCACTTTTTATTTGCCTTTTAAAGAAGCACCTTTGGAGGTTACCTTTACTGAATTGTTGAACATGGGCTTTTTTGAGTAGATAATAAGGATTTTCAGTTGGTGATAAACAAAAGGTAATAGTGCTTTGAATACCTAAATATCAGATTTATTATCAGATAAATTATTTTCCACAGTAAGCAAACTGAAATAAGTTATAACATTGATTGCTTGATATATAATGTTACCCCAAAAGTTTTATTTCTCTCTCTATTTTTCTCTTGGCTTTTATGAAGTATCAGAACACATATTGAGAACCATAAAAATATCTATATTCAGATCTAATAATTCCCATACTTGGAAAGACCCAACAAATATTTAAAAAGAAACAACTATCTTCAGAAAGATGATCTTCACAGCTCATTTTTATTAGCACCTTCACCCCACAAAACCTGGAAGAACTTTATACCAATAAGGGAATGATTGGGCAGATTACGAGTCAATAAAATATTACATAGCCATTTAAAAATAGTAATTATGAACACAATGAGGGAAATATTTATTATAGTCTGTTTTTTTTTAAAAAAAATAAGCCTCAATACAAAATTATTTCACTCTTAAGAGGAAAATTGGATGATGAACACTCATGATCCTTAGTCAGTTCAGATGCACTAAACACTCACTATTGGAGTCCTGTTCGGTAGGTTCCTAAATATAGTTTGACTTTCAGGTCTGATGATCAGGAGAGATGGGCGAATGAAAAAGAGAAGGATTGAAAGTCGGGATAGCCCTTCCCTGCAGGATTTTCTGTGTGAGAAGACAACTTTCAATGTTTGTATTTGAGCCTTCAGACATTTCCCAAGTCAGCATTATAGATATAATGTGATGATTGCCTGCCTCTTGCCCAAGATTTTACAGTATTTGATCTTATTAATGAGTGACAGTGAATCCTAAATGCATTGTGGCTTGCCTTTCAGGATAAGGGAGATCTTGAAGGCATCTCGAAAATTGCAAGGTGATCCAGATTTGCCGATGTCTTTTACTTTGGCCATAGTGGAGTCCGATTCCACAATAGTCTATTATAAACTTACTGATGGATTTATGCTGCCAGACCCTCAGGTCAGTTTTGAGGCAACTAATGGTAAACAGTGAAAAAAGAAAAATTATGACATAATTTTAATTGTGAATCAAGCCTTTCACAGAACTACCTCTTTCTCTGCAGTATGAAAATTCATGAAAAATAATGGCTTTATTTTCATTCCTGCTATATTTTGTTCATAGTGACATGTTCTTGGTTTTCGTAAGAATGATTTCCTTTTTCTATAGAGAATTTAATGGTTTCCCAGAGTACTTCATGAAGTTATAGTGCATTTTATTATTTGACAAGTAACTGAGGTGGAAAGTAAAGCCTAATGATAGCTTTAACCAAAAGAACACTTCTTTATGATATGTTAAATTGGTGGACATTTTGACAGGAATAGTTTAATAAAATAAATGTGTTACCTGTGATGTCTTCACATACTTGTTGGCATAATTAGAATTATTACATTAGATATCTTTCTAGTTTTGCTTTTAAATTACGTTATTGGGGCAAAGGACCATCCTGATCTTTGTTTTTTATGTTGCAGAATATTTCCCTTAGAAGATGACACCTATACTTCCCGGTGCTTACTTATTCATACAAGATTGGACTTGAGACCCCTCAACCTGCTTACTCTTTTATCTCAGAGACAGTCAGGGTTGACTTAGCTGGTCCCATTCCATAAGTATTTTTCTAAAGTAGAAAACTTTCCCAGATAGAGAATTTTTTGTTATTGTTCAAAAATATGGGGTAGTTGCTCTGAAACTTTCTTATCTGAGACAGTTTAATTACATTTGTATACAAGTTTATGCCTAGGGTGTTGTAAGTGTTCTCCTCCACTCATAGCTGCCTCATCGTTCACTGCTGTTACTGCCAGCTCATCGTCGAGACTGCCTCCCTTTCCCTAACTCAGCCCTCTCAGTCCTTTGGCCACTACCTAGCTTGGAATACCTTTCATACACACCTTGATAGCTGGAGAGTTTACTTTAGTTTGCTTTTTAATCCTAATAGAAAGTAAAACATTTCTGTAATTGTTTTTAATGTTGCGATTACTGTTACATTCCTCTTTGGTTTACTTTAAATCAAAACTATAAATAAGCTCATCCAGAGTGTGACCTTGCATGTTTAGATAAATAAGGACCAGAGAAGTGCTACCCACATGAGCACTGAGCCTTCCTTTCCCTTCTTATTACCACAACCCTATGTCATAGTAGACTGTTACAAGAGAAATAGTGGGGGACAGGGTCCGCCTTAAAAACATCTTTATGAAGTAGACCCATTTATTCCACTTTTGTTATAATATATTGCAAACAAGTTGCCTAAAGTATAAAAATTATATGCACAAAGATGTTCTAAATTGCATTACTTGTAATTGCCCAAATTATAAACCACTTAAAAGTTTAGGGCAGTGGTTAATAAACTTTTCCGGTAAAGAGCCAGGAAGTAAATAATTTAGGCTTTACAGTCCATGTAGTCTCTGTCACAGCTTCTCAACTCTGTAGTTTGTAGCACAAAAATAACAATAGACAATAGGTAAACAAATGAGCATGGATGACTGTGTTCTAATAAAACTTTATTTACAAATGCAAGACCATAGTTTGCCATATATATATATATATACATATATAATATGTATATATATATCCCCCCAATGAATGGTACATTATGTGCTCATTAAAAATTAGTAAAGAATATAATGAACATGAGAAAATATTAAATAAAAAAGCAAGATATAAAAGTGCATGAATGGGTATGATCATGGCTATAAATAACACACCCAGAATATAGTAAAAAGATGACAAAATAAATTACTAGCTGTAGTTATAATAGAATGACAGGGTAGTCAAAGGATGAGTTGGTCTTCAGTATTTCTTTGTGTTATTTTTATAATAAAAATGTTTCTAAAAAGTATCTTGAGATTTATATTAGTTATCTATCATTGCATAACAAACTTAAAATGGCACCCATTTAAGATCTCAGAGTTGGTCCTTTATAAGGGTGCAGTCAAGGTGTGGCAGGGCTGTAGTCTCATCTGAGGCTTGGAGGGGGAAGAGTCTGTTCCCTGCTCGTTAGTAGCAGCTTTTAGTTCCCTGCTGGCTGTTGGACTGAGGGTCTCAGTTCCTAGTGGGCTGTTGGCAAGAGGCTGCTCATTTCTGCCACGTGGGCCTTGCCTGCACAACTGGTTGGTTCCTCAATGCCAGCAAGGAGATTCTCAGCAAGACAGACCTCCTCATCTTAAATGACATAATCCTCTCACCTTTGCCGTAAGTTGGGTGGTTAGAATCAAGTCATGGCTGATTACTCTAGAAAACCAAAAATAACAAGAATGGAAAATGGCAAAAGTAGGAATATTACAAAAATGATATAAAAGCATCATTCCTGGTCTGTCGTAGTTCCTCTTTGAGGACATTTGAATTTCATGTGTTTTTTATTTTTATTTTTATTGACAGTGTTGCAGATGTCTCCCATTTCCCCCTGACTTTACCCTCTCAAGAAGCCCCAGGCCTTCCCCACACTGTTGTCTGTGTCCATGGGTTATACATATATGCAAATATGTTCTTTGGTTAATCTCTTGGTGGAAGGTCTTGGCAACTCTTTTAGATTCCCCCTGCTCCTCCAGAAAGTCTGAAGATGTACCAGTTCAGAACAATGTGTGTTTCTGAAGCTCTAGTTGTCAATTTTCAGATCTAAGAATTCTCAAACAGTAATGATTAATTCTTAGGGTTTCTCACACTTCATTCCTTTTTAAAATATATATATATTTCTTTATTGATTTCAGAGAGAAAGGGAGGAGAGAGAGATAGAAACATCAATGATGAGAGAGAATCATTGATCAGCTGCCTCCTGCTTGCCTCTCACTGGGGATCGAGGCCGCAACCCAGGCATGTGCCCTTGGCCGGAATCGAACCTGGGACCCTTCAGTCCACAGGCTGACGCTTTATCCACTTAGCCAAGCCGGCGAGGGCCCACTTCATTCCTTTTGAGGCTTTTCATCATAGTGCTAGGAAAATGGTGCATTTTCAGAAAGAAATGTAAAGCTTAGTGTTAGATTTGTGTGTCCTGTCTGATGCCCAGTGGTTCCCCGGAATACTACAAGACAGAAGTGTCCTTCAGGTTGACCGTGAAAGCTTTTTTGCAGAAATTGTTAAAACTGGATGTCCGGGAATGTTTACCCTGTTTCAGAATGTTCCCAGTGTACTTGACCAAAGTTGTTCTGTCCACAGCCAGCCAGATACCCGCTAATGTGAATAAAGGTCCAGAACAGTTTGGAAAGGAGACAACCCAGCTGTATCTGTCTCATTTTAGTGGACAACTAGGTAAAGCGCCTTTTTGTGTATGATCAAGGAATTTTGTAATTGCATTTACATTCATGTCTTCTTTTAAACACCTGTGTATTCCACCACCTTCCACAGTAACTGGCATAGCTACTAAGCTCTTAATAAATATTTGGTGACTGAATGAATGCTGCTGGTAGACTTGTTGGATTGTATAGTGGCTTATTTTTTACCTCAAGGCAAAAGTAAAATCCATTTGGACACCAGAGGGCACTGCTAAATAAGCACAAAGTTGTCAGACTCTAGGAGCTGATCCGCTTGAGAAATGGTGCTCTTAAAAGTTTATTTTCAGCCTGTGGGAAATAGCATAAATAAAAATACAAATGAGTTTTATGTGCTTCCACCCCCTTTTTCTTTCTGGCGTGCCTCTAAAATTACACTCAATTGTCATTGAGTTTGTGACTTGATTCACGCTTTCTCAAAATGCAGCTCTGTCTAAAAATAAAGGTTGTTTGGGGCAGGGGTGGGTGGGGTGGGTATTTTTTCTAGATTATGGCTTTGTTCATATCCATATGAAATGATTCATTTCATTTCTCTTCCTTGCACATGTCAAATTTATCAAAGAAATTTCAGGCTCAGGTTACATAGCCAGAGACTCCCATCCTGAAACACTTGCTGAACTGGCTGCTTACCACTGGTGAAAGACGCAAATTGCTGCTGGAATACACATGCACTGTTCCATAGGAGGGCAGCCCTCTCCAGGTGGGTTCAGGAAGTGGGGAAAGGGGGTACCTCAGCTTCTCTGTCCTTGTCTGGTCAGGGCACCCTCTACTGAGACCGCTCATTGGAACATTGGGTGATGTGGGTCCAGTGAGTCCAGATTAATGTAGTTTTCGCTCCCGGCCTAAACACTATGGATCTCTTGTGAGAAACATGAGGGCAGTGAGTGGCACTCCGTAATTCTAAGGTATAATTAGGAAAAAATAGGAAACTCCAACCAATTCGTGTAATCTGTATTTTTAAAACCGAAACAGCTTTATACTTTAATATGCCCAGGACCAAAGGACTTCACCCAAACTGCATGGTATTTCATCTTCTTTTTCTGAGCCTTTCTGCTCTGAACTCCTCTCTGAGGTCATTTTTTCCATTGCAGCCCCAGCAGGAGGCCTTTTGCTACCACAGCACAGTGGCTCCTGCCAAAGTTTATATTCCATACAGAAGCTCTTTATCTATTTGCTGCGTTTTCTCCTTGACTGTTTACATGTGCAGAATAATGTCATAGCCTCTGAACAATGAACAGTACAATTTCCCCTTCCCTCAGACCAATAGCTGTTCTGTTCCTTCCCACCCGTCTCCCGCAGCCTAAGCCTCTAAAGATCTTTGAATAAGAACTGCTTGTGCTCAGTAAGGAAAGAGGTTGGGAAAATCACATGACTTATTGCATGGATGTGCTTTAAAAATGGTGCATTTTCCAGATGATTCTGGAAAGCTTCCCCCAAACCATTTTAACCAAAATCAAGATTGGCTTTTTAGGTTTCAGGGTATTGAGTGGAGGTAATATTAGGAAGTTTGTAATTAAAGTTCACTTCATTTATTTATCTTTATATCAATTGGGCTTCTTCTGTGTGCTTAGATGACTGGTAAGTGCTGGGGATACAAAGATTACTGGGATGTGACCTCTGCCCTCAAGAGACTCAGGTAGCCAATGACAACTCTCAGCCAAAATCCAAAACTATGTCAGGGTGAGTGAGGCATACCTGTCATGTGGTCTGTGAAGTTTATACAGTTTACTTAACCATGAAGGGGTTCAATTTTTGGCATATTAAATACTTTTCAAACAATTGTTATATGTGTATTATTTGTCCCAGAGGACTGAACTTTGAATAGGACCCGAAGAAATATTATGCAATGCGCCTCTCACGGACTTACTATCTAGCTAGCGTGGAGAAAATCTATGTATACGAGACAACTGGAGAGCATTCTAAGGCAGTATTCTATATAAATGCTAAAGTATAGTTCCGTAGCACTTTATTCACTACCAAGTGCTTCGCTCTATTTTGATTCTCACAAAAGAGCTGATGCTATTTGTCCTTATTAACTTATTTTCACCACTTAATAGATGGAGAAATTAGGGTACCGGGTGGTTAAGCAGTGGCTTCGTGTAGTAGCGAGGGAGTAGGTAATGAGGACTAGAAGCAGTTCTGTCACCTAGTCCGCTGTGCTTTCCAGAATACCATGCTGCCTTTTTCCTGTATGGTGCACAGAAATATATTAATGTGTGTCAAAGAGACTTTGGAAACAAAAGCATAACTCTGTTTAGTGCTGGAGGGAGTTAGGATGTGATTTAGGGGTTAATTGTATTATTCTCTTATACTCTTGAACAAATGTATCAAATTGTCAAGCTGTCTGTAGGTAATCTGAAAACCATATTCATAAGCAATATACTTTCAAAGTTTTATTACAAAGAATAAATACATTAATGTCCATGCTCTTATGTAGGGAAACCTAAAGCAATATTTAATATTAAATGAGAAAGAGCTCAGAAAGGTTTTCTGCTTGTTAAAGCTAAACTCTGTGCTGGCACAAAGAGTAGACTTGGAACTTTTAAATGATTTCACCCTGAGCGAGGAAGGGTCTAAATACCTAAATACCCCCCCCCCCCCCCCCCCGCCCCAGATCTGCTTGCTATTGCTTGAAATCTTACCGTAATTCTTACTCATGAAGCTTTGATCCAAATTAATGATAAGCATTTTTGTAGCATCCCATGGGCAAGACACAATGCTAATATTTGGGGGAAACATAAGCCCAAATATTTTATTAATAGATTCAACAGATAAAAATTAGTTAAGTTGTTATAAGATTTTCTAAATGTTTATTCTCAATCTCTATACCTGCCTCATTGCAGACTGGTGATGTTTTGTGGATTGACATTTGTGTGTAGACCACACTTTGAGTAGCATGTATTAGAGTTCAGATGACATGTGCTGAGAACCTGCACTCCAACAGTAGCCCAGGTATGTTAGTCAGTATGAGCGAGATCTGATGCAGTAACCACCCGTGAATTAGTTTAACAGATATTTATTTCTTGCTCACATAGACTTGGAGTCCTTATTCTGGGAATCAGGTCAACAGAGCCTCCACCTTCTGGAATGTTGGTTCCAGTGTCAGGAAGAAGAAAGGACTGTAGTGTCTGCAATAAAATGCTTCCAGCAGAAGCAGCATATGGCACCCCTGCCCACATTTTGTTGGCCAAAGCAAGTCACATGGCCGGCCATGATCAACTTCCGGAAGGAGAGGATGTGAATTCTACCATGTTCCTGGACAAGTAGGAGGAATAGTCAGAGAACAGCATTTCCAGGTAATGGAAAGGAGAGGAGAGACAGCACGGAGGCAGATTTAACAACTGATTAGCTGTGGGAATAGAGGAGTTAAAGCTCAACCTATATTGAGTCACTTTAAGTTTCATATTGCAATGGGAAGATAGTGAGAGGATGTTGCAAGAAGGACAGCGCTAAACCACCAAGGTGGGAAAAGGGCCAACCTAGGAGCTAGGAGGAGAGGAGAGTTTGGAAGACAAACTTTCCCCGACTTTTCTGCTTAGACTATGGGTTAGCATCTCAGAAGGAAAATCTTTTATGAGTCAAGAGCGTAGGACCACTGTAGACCTCCCTCCCCTCCCTCTTCTGATGCATCTGGGCTGTACGCAGAGTATGTTGTCCTAGTCTTAACTTCCTAAGAATGGGGAAAAGAAAGCATTTGTGCCTACCGTGTAGGGGATTTGGTTGGGTCCTGCGAGAATCTTTTGAAACAAGCTGTTAAAACATGGACTCTCGGGTGGTGCTGGATTTGTGAGGAACCTGGGGTGGATAACTATCTAGTCGGATCATGACCTGGAGTATTTGTAGACCTAGGGGCACTTGCTACATTAACATGGTTGGGGGGCAGACATCAGCCCATGCTGGCATTGGCTGACTTGAGCGTCCTCCTGCAGTGCCCGTGTTCCACACAAGTCACCACCATGTCCTCCTAATCCCCGGCCAAGTGCTCCTTCAGATCTGAATCTCTCGGCTATTCCACTTGGGACGTGGAAGATTCTTGGTTCTGTGCCTCAACTCAACAGGCGTGTGAGGGAACTTTAAGGCTGTCTCAGGTCCTCTCCATCTCGATTTGCTTTCCCTGTTGTCACCACAAAAGGCTGTGTGGGTGACTGTCAGAGACTTTATCTGAGCCTGGAGGCAGCAGTGGGAGTTTGGGCATGGGTGCTGGCCACAAAAACCCACACGTGAATGAGGGGGATCCCCCAATTTCCTGTTGTCTCCTCTGCTCCAGAAACTCGGACGGGGTCAGGGCAAAGGGAAGGGAACTGGGCCTCTGCTCGGTGACCCATGCAAGGGCCTAATTTTTCCATGTTTGCTCTCACCTGTCCCTGCCAGGTTTCTCCCTCTAGTTTTATCTTAGGGCTAGAAACAAATCTATGACCATTTCTGATCGAATTTCTTCCAAACATACTGTTTTTGCCAACATTTCAGGTTTTGAAATTCAAAAGGCAAGAATTTGCCTCTTTTGCTCTATAGTATAATCCCATGCCCAGGCACTGTGCCAGGAAGCCTGTATGGGAAAAGGTTCTCAGGTAACAAGAATTACTGAGGGGAAAACATAGCAGTTCACATATCAAAATATTTTCCGACTACATTCACAAACATGTTAATTATCATTAATGTGCATATTTCTCTCATAAGAATTTTTTTAGGCATATCAGGCGGCATCCGACCTATTGGTGATATAGTACTTGGCCCAGAGTAAGAGCTCCATAGTATTTTATTTGATTGCATTTAAATGTCCACAGGTGGACTACTTTTCGCCCAGTGCTCTCTCTGCCACTATAAGATCAGGGCAAGGATCAGCTGTCCTTGTTCTATCAACCGTGTAGCAAAGGAGGAGCTGTGTTTCTTGGGCAGTGAGAGAGCTTACCCCATGATAAATGCTTCTTTGAACATGCTTATGCTGTGAAATCCATGAGGGCTTCACTTCTGTAAAGGGAGGAGAGGACCTGTGCTCTCCTCATCCTTCAATGACCTGAAGATTTTGCGATGCCCCAGACCTTAAAACACTGTGTGTTTGCCGACATTGCTTATTTTTTATTACCTCATATTTTTTTAGTAGTCATTCTTTAGGCAAGGAATGAGAATTTGCAGCTTCTAATTGTTTCCTGGCATGAACCTAGTACCTTTTTAGCTTGTTTGTTTTTTTCTTCTTCTTCTGGCTGCACAGAACATTTCTCTAAATATAGAATGGTGCTTGCTATGGACAAGGCTGGAATAAGATAAAATTTTCTTTTCAATCAATTCCCATGCATCTTCTAGTGAGCACTAGGTACTGTTCTTTTCTCAGAGTGGCAAGAGTGGGCAGCAGAAGGGAGTGATATGGAGTGGTGGAGCTTTCTAAAGCAGAAGTCCATCACTGCAAAGCCCTCTGAGGAGACAGCGAGGCCAAGGTGGCCGATGCTTTGGGGCTGGCTCTCCTGTGACCTCAGGTGAGCCACACGGTAATGGGGTGATGGGCAGCAGCACATACCTGCCCTTTGGAGGCAGGGCAGGTAGCAAAAGGGGTGCAGGCTTCAACAGCCCTGATTGGATCTCCTGCTGTGCCACACAGTTAAGGGTGACCTTGGATAAGTTGTTTAACCTCATCTACAAAATGGGTGGTACTAATAAAACCTGGCTCTTAGAGCCCTCATGCGGGTTAAACGAGATGAATATGTATAAATTATTTGGCAAACTTTCAAGAAATGGTAGCTATTATTTTTTGTAGCTGATATTTTATAGCATTAATGTTTCAAATATGACCATATTTTTAGTTTTGTTTCTGCGGGAAGTTATTTATGTAAATTCATTTATAATATTAACCAAAAGCAGCTCTCACATACCTTGTGAATCAGATACAAATCTTTATTACCTTCATTTATTCTGGTGGGAGGGTTTTATTATTAGAGGCAGTGCCGGCTAATGGTTAGAGCAGGGGCTTTGGCACTATAGTCTTTTGGGCTCAAATCTTGATGTGTGATCTTGAGCAAGTTAATTAACTTCTCTGAGACACAATCCTTTGTCTGCAATTCCAAAATAAGACTACGCCACTTAGTCTTCCTATTTGGTACTGAAATACTGGACTCCCCGGACTCTGATGGGGGTTTTGCAATACATGCTACATGTACGCTGTTTATTAAATCTGAATTATGAATTTTAAAACTCATCTGGCTCCAAGGGTTTTGGTACAGAATATGTGATACACCCTCATAGGATTATCTTGAGTTACATCAACTTCATGTAAGCCTTTTGGAACCTTATTAGCTATTATTGTCATCCTTGGAACAATCCTTTGAGGCAGCAATTATGATCCCGATTTACAGATGAAGAAAATCAAGCACAGAGAAGTGAAATTGCCACATAGTTCATATGTGGTAGAGCTGGAATCCAAGTAGGAATTTCTGACTCAAAGCCTATGCATTCTACTGAAACAGATTAATTTCTAGGGCCCTGTACATGCTCACCCCCAATTAAGATTCCACTTAGAGAGGTTAGGGTATATAGTTAAACACCATCAGCGAGGGCTGCTCCCTTTGGACATCTCTACAGGCAGCCCTGCTCTGGTGTGGGCTCCCCACCCTCTTTCTTTTATATATATTGATTTCAGGGAAGAAGGGAGAGGGTGAGGGAGAGAAAGACATCAGTGATGAGAGAGAATCATTGATCGATCAGCAGTCTCCCACATGCCCCGTACTGGGAATTGAGCCTGCAATACAGGCGTATGACCTCCTGATTCATAGGTCGATGCTCAACCACTGAGCCACACTGGCCGCACAGAGGAAGTGCTGGTAAGGCTTCCCATGGGGGATTGCCAACCACATGGCATGAAGAGAAAGCCTGCACACTGTCTGGTTGCACACCTCTGCCCATGTCCTCGATGGCCATCCTGTAGTGCAAGTAGTCGACTTGTGAGTCATAGTCATTTGCCATTTGGTGATGGGGAAGGGACAGAGGGAAGGGAGGCAGCCAGTGATAGGTGTGTTGTCATGCCATTTTTCCACAGTGAGTGGCTGTAACTCCATGGGGAAGCATGAGGTTACGTGTGAAACCTATGCCACGGAATGATGCCACCAAGGGAGGAGGGACTGGGGTATTTATGATACATCTCTGGAGAGTCATTGGTTGAGAGCCACTCCCAGGGATGTCCTTGGCAGGCAATCAGAAGCAGCATGACCTTCCTGTTCTGAAAAGTGAGGTCTACAGAAATGAGCGAAGCATTGACACACGCCCTTTAGCACAGCTCCGACAGCAGCAGGAACACCCTTATTTGTGAAAAGCCCAGGATGGATGACGTCTCGCTGTCCGTGAGTTTCATGTCCACTGACAGACCCGCCTACCCTCAAAAACCCCCCACTGTACTGCTTGCCGTGGTGTCAGAAATATGTGGCATAAGTCACTAGTCTCCAGAGGCCATCAACAAAATGTCAGTACATTGCCCTGAGAAGCAAGGAATGAGCTATGAGTCTTGCCTCAAGGGACTGGGACTTGGAACAAAGATGCTTTAATGGAAGAAATATCAAGAAAGTTCTGGACAGGGGTGAGGGTAAGAGAAGAATAACAAGGTTGGAGGTGGACATGAAGGAGACGGCCTCTGAGGAGTGTGGCAGGGACCCAAAGGACCATTTTTCTCTTTCCCAATGTGATCCAGACCAAAGGCCGGGGGAGGAAGAAGGAAGACTTCCCTCCCTGCTGCTGAGACTGTGAGCTCCTGGAAGACAGCGATCACGTTGTCTGTCTCTCTATCCTCAGAGCTCAGCACAGTGACCAGTGACTCCTCTGACTGAGCAGAACTTCCATGAATTCAGTGCTCTGCTCTCTTTTTCACCTGCCAATCCTTCCACTTTTCTGTTAGCAACCCCACATTCATACCAAGACGCTCTCCGTAGCTTCACTTCTAGAAACAAGCAATACCACCAACACCTTATTTATTGGCAGTGAGACTTTGGGCAAATTACTGAACCTTCAGTTTACTCAGTGAATAAAAGTTGAGAAGGCCCTTGACTTCCTGAGCTTGTAGTGAGGACTTCGTGGGGTTACTATGAACTGAATTGTGCCTACCACAAATTTATATGTCCAAGTTCTAACCCCACAGTGTGACTGAATTTGGAGTTAAAACCTATAAGGAGGCCATCAAGTGAAAATGAGGTCTTAGGGTGGAGCCTTAATCTGATGGAACTGGTGTCTTTATAAGAGAGGAAGAGACACCAGAGGTCTCTCTCCTCATGTGCACACAGGAAAGGCCATGTAAGGACATGGTGAGAAGGTGGCCATCCACAAGCCAGGAAGAGAATCCTCACCAAACCCCAGATTTTCTGGCATCTAGGTCTCAGACTTCCAGCCTCCAGAACGGTGAGAAAATAAATGTCTGTTGTCAAGCCCCCAGGCTGAGGGTTTTCTGAGAGCCCTAGCAGCCCAGTACAGAGCTAATTCCCAGAGGACTTTGCTACAGCACCATGACACAAGGCAGAGGGTTATTACGTGTAGCTATTGCCTATATTACTACTTCTAATAAAATGGCTACCTTTCCAGGAGAGAAAGAGAATTCTGGGAATCCTGATACTAACCAGTCGGCAAATCTATGCTAAGCTTCTCATGAGAAATCGGGAATGTCAGAAAGACAGCAAACTGCACTCCCTGAAACTTTCCAGTCCTATTTCTGTATAAAAGGCATAACGATGGTGTCACGTAATGTGACTGCATCTTTCCTCTGAGGAATTAACTTGCTATGCCAACCACTCGTTCATCAGGCAAATGTTTGCATCATGAGGATGAGCTAAGAGAACATCTTAGTCAGCCAGATGCCCGAGGCCAGGACTGTGTACAGAGGGGCACTAATAAAATATGATCATCTTATTTGTTCCATCCTCTCTGTAGTGTAGGCTCTGCCGTCTGAAAGCAGGCCAGGCTGGTAGATTTTAGGAATTGCAGGGTTGAGTTTACAGTACAAGAGATTTTACTTCAGGTTGGCCTTGACTAATGGCTGTTCCATCTCTTTTTTTTTTGGGGGGGGGGGGGGGGCGGGCATTGGGGGCGTGGTTCAAGACTTTTTAAGCTTCTCTTTTTTTTGTCCAGTTACATTTCTTTTACTTTATTTTGTTTAAGGTATTACAAATAGTAGTACATATGTCTCCTTTATATTTTCCCCATTGACCTCTCCCCCCACCTCCCCTACCCTCCAGCACTTGCCCTCATTCCCCGCCCCCTCCCCCCCTCCCCCCCCCCCCCCCCCCCCCGCCCGTGCCTTGCGTCTATTGGTTGTGCTTATATGCATGCATACAAGTCCTTCAGTTGATCTCTTACTCCCACCCCCACCCCCCCATCATGAGCACATCAGGGAAAGGTCCTCCAAAAACTCTATTCTGGTTTCATAATGTTGTACATATTCCTCAGGACACCTCCATCAGGCCTCTCCTAGTGGACTTTTGGGCTGCAGACCTCCAACGGACAAATGGGAAAGGAGGCAGAAGAGACCAGTTCCGTTTGGCTTCATTTTCAATCCAAATAAATGCATTAGAGTTGGTACTAAAATCTCTTTGGAAAAACAGAACCATCTGTGATCATTGGTCAGAGTTCTAAATGGTGTAGAAAGAGGAAAAAAATGTGCTGACTCCTGACCAATGGAAAGGGGGTTGCATTGGTTTAATTGCAACCAGTTGAAGGGGTTGTTGTTGTTTTGTTGTCTGTTTCTTTTTCCTCAAAATTTTCTTTAAATCTGTGTTGTTCACCTGTCCCCAGAGACTACATAAGGCACAGTTGAAATTTCTGTTGTCCTTTCCTGTTACTTCCTCCCTACCGTTCCTGGCTTCATAGGGCAGGGTGGTGTAGACTGTAGGATCCCTTGCCCATTATTCCTCTGTCACAGTTGGATGAAGTGCTCAAATATGAATCATTAAGCCCACTTCTTTTTGTATCTCCCAGTTGCTAACTGTTTGTTCTCAGATTCAATGTTGATTTAATGTATTCATTAAATCCAAACATTTACTCAACGCTCACCATGTGCCAGGCCCCCTTGAAGGCACTGGGGATGCTAAAGCAAAGCAGACACAGATCCTGCCTTCAAAGAGCTGCAGTTTAGTGTGCGGGCAAAGAAATAGTTACTAACACATGGTCACAGGACAGAGCATAGAGAAAGGCTTTGAAGAGAGTACAAAGGGATGTGGAGGTGACTTTCCAGGAGGGAAGAAAAAGAGAAGCATTAGTGGGTAGGCAGATGTAATGGGGGGAAAAGAAGTAGCCAGTCAGAGAGTCAATCTTTTTTTTTTTTTTTAATATATTTTATTGATTTTTTACAGCGAGGAAGGGATAGGGATAGAGAGTTAGAAACATCGATGAGAGAGGAACATCGATCAGCTGCCTCCTGCACAGCCCCCACTGGGGATATGCCCGCAACCAAGGTACATGCCCTTGATTGTAATAGAACCCGGGACCCTTTAGTCCGCAGGCTGACGCTCTGTCCACTGAGCCAAACCGGTCAGGGTGAGAGTCAGTCTTTTTGATGTACCCACCTGCTGAAAGCAGCTGGTGATGTTGGTGCAGACTGCAGACAACTTTAGCTCGGGCACCAAGAAGTAGCCTCAGTAGGTGAAAGACTGAATGGAAAAGCCATTCTCACCTTGTGCTGCACTCTGCAGTCATTTGTTACAGAATGGAATGAAGAAAGGAAGGTCACGGGGCCCCAGAAGGCGCTAGAGGACCATCAGGAAGCCTCACAAGCCCTTTGAGAACCATGTCCCTCAAAGCGCATTTTTAATGAGAAAAGTCTTTCTAGTATAAAACCAGATTCAATTGAGACTCAAAAGGTAGTGCTTGTGTCACATTTTCCACAGAAATTCATTCTCACCCAAGGCAAAACACATCTCCACTGGGACCCTGAGCCATGGAGAGCTTGTGTGCTATCTGGGGAATAGACCATGTTCTTTGAATGTTAACAGAGTAGCCCAAAGACTGCCTTTGATTGGAACCAGATGCTATGAATTGGAATTTTTAATTCCATTGTTATCCCTAAGGCAAACTGGGCCTTGTGGGAAGTCTCACTAATCCCCGATGAGTTGGCTCAGCCATAGTTCACATAGGCTTCAGTTTATGAGGACCTCTGTATGCATTCATTCACAGGGTGTGGGGCTTTGTTTGTTTGCTTTGTTTTAACATGGTTCTTTGTAAAGCATTAGGATCAGCTTCCTAAGGCGGTAGGACTTATCAAGGAATCCATCTGTTTTCTAGAGAAGTAGATTAACTCTAGTTGCCTCGGTCAAAGAGTCCCATTCATAGGGGACAACTGCCTAGCTCAGCACCTTGGGTCCTGTTGAAAGCACCAGAGGACTCTCATAGTTGGGATGTAACAGATTTCCCCATGCCTGGACCAGGGCAGCAGCATCACCAATGGGCAGATGGAGCCATCTGCCTTCCTTGGTGGTATCTGTTTAATCAACTTTGGAGGTAGCTATCATGCCACCACCTAACAAAAGTGCTTCATATCCAATAGTAATACCCCAGAAAGATGGTCACCTTGATAGAAAAATATGATAAAAGAGCACCAGAATCTTTATTTCTGCAATCAAGAAGTCC